TACTCATTATAATGAACATGAACATATAATCATAAAAGTCGGTGGTAAAAGAATAAAAGTGTATTATCTTAGGCTATGTCATTCACCTTTGATTTTAAAGCTGGCTAGTTAACATACCAAAAAGCTTTTTACGCAGAAGTGCGATTTTGCCATATAACGATAATAAATGTCAACCAATGTATGAAATTCAATGAATTCATATGTATTGAATTAACGATTTATATTTAAATTTTATTATGATTATTATTGTTATATTTTATATTTCTTTGGATAAAGTCCTCATATCACCAAAAAGATTTAATATCGTAGTTTTTGTAATAATGCATCGTGGCAGAGCTTTATTTATATAAAAATATATTACATTAAATTATTCAAAAAAAAATTACATATAGTGATATTATTAATTTTAGGGCGCAGTATAATGTTTAATTTAGGTGTATAAAATTTTACTCTACTACACTTGGAGTCTTGGATGGGAGAACAAAAACAGTTATCAATAACATTTCATCTATCCATGTGTACCGTTCAGAACATGTGACAGATTATCGGCGTAATTAGCCGTTCCCTAGATTCCTTATAATATTCACTAATACTGGGATTCATTCCTAAAAAAAATGACCGCATGGATTAACATTCATACTTACAATTGATTGTTATAAACAATGAACGAATAAGAAGCGTGGTTGAGAGAGCGTGGTTGAGAAGTAAGACGTTCACTGGAGATATTAGGTACATCTTCCTAAGTAATAATGTACGACCCTGTTATTGATATTAAACAAACATTTATATGTTATTATAATTACCAGGCGTTGTTGAGACTTTAGTCCAAAGGGTGGCAAGAGTGTAACTGAGCGAAGCTCACATTCAGGGCAAAGCCCACTATTATACAAATAGGACAAAAATGAGGGGACTTTAGAGCAATCTTTATACTATACAGTGTAATTCTTAATTACGTTAACCGTTACCATAAGACTTAAAACTATTACGCGTCTCTTCAAGTTCTTCCGGAGTATCTCTTTCAGGTAAACTATCCTCTGGGTATGAAGCAGAGGTTTCGGTATATTATCCTGGGTCTCGGACTCGTACTAGGCGGGCATTTGTACTGCAAGTGCGGACACGTCACAAAACTCCTTATAATTCGTGAGGTACACGCAACTTTAATGGAAATTACAACCGTTCTTACAAAAATCCCATTTTTTGGATAACTGAACTCTCCCCTATTTTTCGGTTTGTCTTATCTATGCCATCGTTTGCCATTTCATAAATCTGCAGTAAATAATCATTCAGTAAGGTAGTTACGATGAAATCAGATGTTTATGGCTTGAGAGATTTGGGAGTTATGTTCTATTCAAAACAAACGGCATTCGTGGTCCACTACTTATGGAACTGAAATAAAACGAAAGCATTCCACTCACATAGATGATAGAAAATAATGCTTGAGACATACAATGAAAAATTTTCAGGGTGCTTGGTATTCTGGTGTTTTTATAACAATCTGTTTCAAGTACTGACACCGGTAAAGCCATTGATACTGTTGATGACTACAGAACTTTGGCTCAAACTAATTGTACTCCTCTGGAACGTATTTCATGCTTCGTTGATGTATACCTTTGCCTCTTTGTTAAACGTCGGGTTTTTCCTTTGTGTTGACCTAAGGTATCACTTTGCAACGTATTGGTGGAACATTCATGTGCATGCAGTTAACTTGTTTGGTATCACTGTCTATAGAACGGTTGGAAAAAAATAGTATGTATTTTTGGCAACTAAATTTTTTATTACGATTCTATTTTTTCGTTTGTCAAGTAGTAGCAACTTTGCTCGAATTGTATGTCGATACATTGATGATGTGGTGAAGATGATAACGAAGTAAAAGAGAGCAACAATTCAAAGACACTTATGTAAGTAAAGTAAATAAATTTTTTATACTCACTTTATTCACTCATTATTTACGCATGCAATAAATAGTAGTATCTATAGTTTTTCATGCCAACAATTTTATAACGTTTTTTTGTTTTAAACTAAAATAGGAAAATATACTAAAGCTGATAATTCGGTTGATGAATGTTGTTGAATATAATTGAGCTTATTAAATTTGTATCAGCAGGAATTAACAAAATAAAAGAGAATATATTACTAGTACCTCATTTTGCGCTCTGTAATATTTGTATTTACCTATAATTATTATTAAGATAATTTATTGCAACGATTCCTTTTAAATAATTTATCCTTGTGATCGACTTTTTTCGATGATTAATTTCACGTTAACTTTTCTGTCATGATAGGGAACTGGTAATTTGTACTACTATAAATACACAATGTTTGTTTTGTGTATAAATTTAGAATGAAAGGTGTCGCTTACTTTATCAACAAAAAAAAACTCGAAGTTTTTAATTTTCCGCATTAAATACTGCATATGTTGCCAGAGGTAGCGTAATCATGAGTTACTAACTTTCATTTTCTTTCTTTTTCTTTAGATGGTTCTTTCAGATTTCTCTGGATGATTTCATTTTTTTCTTCCTTACTGCGCCTTTTAACGAACTGTTACTAACAGTTTTTTTTAGGTGATTCTCGAACATAGATTCGATGAGTGGTATTTACTTTTATTTTAAATTAACTCTTTCAACGAAACGTTAGAAAACGTTTCAGTTTTTTTTCTTAGGTGGTTTTTTCAATTTCTTTTGCCGGAAGATTCTCCCTTTTTTTTCTTGAATTTTTTTTTATTTTAATGAATAGTTTCTAATTGCTTAATATTTTTTAGGCGTTTCTTTGGCTGTTTGTGTGTGGGATTTTGGTGAGCATATTATTTATTTAAATTCTTTATTTCCGTCTTAAAATGGTTACTAAATTTTTTACTTTCTCCTTTTTTTAGATGGTATGGACACGTAGGATCTCGGTGAGAAATCGGCCTCAATTTTTCTTATTTTTAGATGAGTCTAGGCGTTTGGAACAGACAAGTTTTGAAAAGGAATTAAACTTTTTATAAAAGTTTCTTTTATTTTTTTTCGCCATTTTTATAGGGAAATCAGCTCAGGAAATCTGGACACCATATTCCCATTTGAGAGTTTCGAAAAAAGAATTTGAACTTTAATAAAGCATTTTTTTAATCTTTCTTTTCCTTTTTTTTGTAGGAAAATCGATTTCGGACTTGGAACCAGATCCAATCTATCGGATAGTCATAGAATTCGTGTATGTCAAAACGTATAAGTTTCAAAAAAATGAATTCAAATCCTTAAAAATTGAAACCAGTTTTTAATCTTTTTCCTACTTTATAGGGGATCCTAGATGTTTCGAAAAAAAAATATTCGAAACTTGGTTTTTGTAGGGAATTCGGTAGCAACAGATTCTCAAGTGACTGAGTTTCAGAAAAAAAAAATTCAAAATAATTTTTATTCTTTTTTTGATTTTCTTTTGTATCATTGGACTCCTGACTTCGGAACCCTTATGAAAAGACGTTAATTATAGTAACATCTTTTATCTTCTCCTCTGACTTCATTATCTCTCGGTATGATAATGGATTTTATGTTGTACAAGTGCGAAATTAGTAGATTGAAAGTAAATTTTTGGAATGAACCAAGCTAAAAACGTTTTTATTATCGTTTTTTGAGACGGTTTCTACTACTTGAATGGATTGGATGGCAAGTTGGAATTTTTTGAAACTTTTTTTTTATTGGGAAACTTTATTAATGCTTCCTTCTTTCTTTTTTTGTAGGAACGGGTTTCTGATTCTTGGCTAGATTAAATGGTAAAGTCAAAAAGGTTCCGAAAATAAAACATTAAAACTGTTTTATTATCATTATTTAAAGTTTATTAATAGGTAATCAATTTCAATATATTGTAATAGCACTTTAGCAATAGATTGTACAATAAGTTTTTTACAATGATACATTTTAACAATTTATATTACAATATGTATTATAAAGCTATGGTACAATGTTCCTACAAGACCAATAACGAGAATCTTAACATGGTTTGTATATAATGCACTGTAATATTAATTTTAAATACATTTAAAAATTTTAAGTTGTTAGCAAAGTATCCATAACTATTAGAAGTATTACTGCAGTAATCACAAAATTTGTTTTGGCTTGGTGGATTAAGTCCACATTCTTTTTTGTATATGGATGTGATTTTTTGGATGTGAAAGACTGTGCAAATTCATTATCATTCCAAAGATAATCAATAAAAATTGCATCAGGTCCCCGAAATATATATACAGAGGTAAGGTGGCGGCCAAAAAAAAATTACTATTAGCTGTACGCATTTTTTCAGGGCCGGAATTATGAAGGTAATACCTTTCCACCAGGAATTATCTATAAAAAAAGATTTTCATATTTTTTTTTTGCTGATTTGCACGCAAACTTGAACCTGTATTTCTGGGTCCTATTGCATCCCGCCTTAACCATTCTCCAGCTGTTACTCTTCCAGATGTATTCCCTCAAACTAAACTGTGTTTTCAACAGGATATTCATCAAACATTTGCAATTGAGATTTAAGAGTATTGACGATAGGGTGTTGAATAGTTATCCAATATTGAATATCAGATATAAAGGCAAACATTACTTTGTCATAATTTTTTCGTCCAAACATTCTCATTACTGTCCATAAGTCAAATATTATTTCAACATATTGATCAAAATTATTTCCTCTAAATAATATAGAATATACATCCAATGTAACAGAAACTAAATTATCTAACAATCTATGAATGTGTGATATCCAAAACCCTTGATTGTCAAATCGTGCTACAATATCTTGATATAAGACGCTTTACATGAAGACTCTTGAAGTCAAAAGTTCTTCATATATAATGCAATTTTTATATTACTGTCTTGTTATAAAATCATCAGAGTATTTATTTAAAAAAAAATTCTATTATTGTAATATTGTATATTAAAGATGGATACATAGTAGTTTATGAAATACAAACAGTTAAACCAAAAAAAGAAACTTATATTCCTTACAATTGGTAAATTCTTTTTAATGGATAAGCAAAATGGTTAAATAAATTTTAATTAATCTAAGATTATTCTATTATTTAAAAAATATTGCATGAATATTTGGCGATTTGGTTAGTATCTTAAATTAAATGCATGTTCAGTTTTAATTTTATTTATTTATCAAGCCTTTAAAAATGGAAAAAACACGTCTATTTTTGCATTTTTGTAACTTCGAAAATCTAATTGCTTGAACGTTGTTATGACAAAAATTATATATTGTTCAGGTCAAACTAAATTAACAAAATATTTAAAAATATTAGTTCAATATCAATCCTTAATAAGCAAAGAATTATAAACTTACTCTGTAAATTTAAAGAGATTTGAGTAGACTCAATTTGAATAGACTCGGCACTAGCTTGCAATTCTGAAGTTAAATTGTCACTACCTTTAATAAACAGTTTTATTTTATCTTCATCAATATATTAGTAATAAAAATAAATATATGGATGTGAATAATAAATAAATACCTTTGACTAACTTGTTAGTAACAATATTTACAAAACCCATTCTTTCAAATTCATCCAATATTTCATTAATAGTTGGTCTTTGTTCAGGTTCTTGGTTCCAACAATTTTTATAGAGTTTTTCATATTCTTTAGGGGTACCTAGAATTGTAACCTCACGAGCACCATTACTAATAGAAACAGCAAGTGCAACTTTATTATCATTATCTTTAAATGGAGGATATCCACTAGAAATTTCCCACATCAATACACCAAAACTATAGACGTCTGAAGATTTAGTATATGGAAAATTTGGATCTACAAAACGTCTTGGTTCCATATAAGCAACAACACCAAAATTACCAACATATGCTGTTGAAGTTTGATTATTTTGATTTTTTGAAATACCGAAGTCCATAATTTTAGCATTATTTTCATGAATAGCTATATTCTTAGAATGCTAAAATAAAGTAAACTATATAAATACATTTAGTACTATAATGATATTAGGTAAAAATACTAATACTTACAAGATCTCTATGTAAAATATTTTCATTATGCAAATAATTTAATCCATCTGCAATTTGAAATGCTAATTTTTTCTTATCATTCCATGTCAAATCCTTAAAATTATTTTTGAGATAATTTTGAAGATCTCCGTCATTGGCATATTGCATAATAAGAAGATATTCATTTGTTTTTGGATCTAAAGAAAAAATTTATAAGAAATCTTTAAAAAAAATAAAAAATAAAAATGCAATGTAGATAAATATTTCAAATTACCTGAACTAATACCAAAACAACGTATAATTCTGTCACTATAATTAAGGTGCATATGCATTTTTAGTTCATGAATAAATGCATCTAATAAATCATTCTTAATATAAGTTGTATTAGTTAATTTTTTACAAATAACATAATTATTAGTTTTAGTCCAAATTGCCTTTGATATTGTTCCAAATCCTCCCGCATAAAGTCGTTCTGTATTTTTTAGTTCTTTATAAGATATAAATTTAACTTTTTCATATTTTAGAGCATTTTCAATCCATTTATTTGCACTTAAACATTCTTTTTCTGCATTTTTAGACCAATTAACGTGCTTTTCTAATACCTTTTTCACTTTACCAATTCTATAAAGAAATCTAGGTCTATACTGAACATTACTAATTCCTTGCTGAGCTGCTTTTTGATACCAGTAAGAGGCTTCTTCTAAATTCTTTTCTGTTCCATTTCCATTTTCATAGCATATTGCTAAATTATTCATTGCAACTTCATTGCCATTTTCCGCTGCTTTTTGATACCAATAAAAGGCTTTTTCTAAATTCTTTTCTGTTCCTTCTCCATTTTCATAGCATATTGCTAAACTATTCATTGCAACTTCATTGCCATTTTCCGCTGCTCTTTGATACCAATAAAAGGCTTTTTCTAAATTTTTTTCTGTTCCTTCTCCATTTTTATAACATATGGCTAAATTATTCATTGAAACTTCATTATCATTTTCAGCTGCTTTTTGATACCAATAAAAAGCTTTTTTTAAATTCTTTTCAGTTCCTTTTCCATTTTCATAACATATGGCTAAACTATTCATTGCAACTTTATTACCATTTTCTGCTGCTTTTTGATACCAATAAAAGGCTTTTTCTAAATTCCTTTTTGTTCCTTCTCCATTTTTATAGCATATGGCTAAACTATCCATTGCAACTTCATTACCATTTTCTGCTGCTTTTTGATACCAATAAAAGGATTTTCCTAAACTCTTTTTTGTTCCTTCTCCTTTTTTATAACATAAGGCTAAATTATTCATTGCAACTTCATTACCATTTTCTGCTGCTTTTTGATACCAATAGAAAGCCTTAGCTTCATTATTTTCAATACCAATTCCTTCCTCATAACATAAGGCTAAATTAAACATGGCAGCTTTATTACCATTTTCTGCTGCTTTTAGATACCAATAAAAGGCTTTAACTTCATCCCTTTCAATACCAATTCCTTTCTCATAACATAAGGCTAAATTAAACATTGCAGCTTTATTACCATTTTCTGCTGCTTTTTGACACCAATAAAAGGCTTTGACTTCATCTTTTTCAATACCAATTCCTTCTCCATAACATAAGGCTAAATTAGACATGGCATCTTTATTACCATTTTTAGCTGCTTTTTGATACCAATAAAAAGCTTTTTCGAAATTCTTTTCTGTTCCTTCTCCATTTTCGTAACATACTGCTAAACTATTCATTGCTTTAGTATAATTTTTTTCTGCTGCTTTTTGAAACCAATAAAAAGCTTTTTCTAAATTCATTTCTGTTCCTTCTCCATCTATATAACATAATGCTAAACTATTCATTGCTTTAACATAATTTTTTTTTGCTGCTTTTTGATACCAATAAAAGGCTTTTTCTAAATCCTTTTCTGTTCCTTTTCCATTTTCAAAACATAAAGCTAAATTAAGCATTGCAGTTTCATTGTCATTTTCTGCTGCTTTTTGATAAAAATAAAAGGCTTTTTCTGAATTTTTTTTTGTTCCCTTTCCATTTTCATAACATATGGCTAAATTAAGCATTGCAACTTCATTGTCATTTTCTGCTGCTTTTTGATACCAATAAAAGGCTTTAACTTCATCCTTTTCAATACTAATTCCAAATTGGAAACAATAACCTAATTTAAATTGTGCATTTTTATCCTTATTTTCTGCTGCTTTATGATACCAAAGAAAAGCTTTTTCTAAATTCTTTTCTGTCCCAATTCCATTTTCATAACATAAGGCTAAATTATTCATTGCAACTTCATTGCCATTTTCTGCTGCTTTTTGATACCAATAATAGGATTTTTCTAAATTCTTTTCTGTTCCTTTTCCATTTTCATAACATAAGGCCAAACTATTCATTGCAACTTCATTACCATTTTCTGCTACTTTTTGATACCAATAATAGGCTTTTTCTAAATTCTTTTCTGTTCCTTTTCCATTTTCATAACATAAGGCTAAACTATTCATTGCAACTTCATTATCATTTTCTGCTGCTTTTTGATACCAATAAAAAGCTTTTTTAAAATTCTTTTCTATTCCTTTTCCATTTTTATAACATATGGCTATATTGTTCATTGCAACTTCATTACCATTTTCTGCTGCTTTTTGATACCAATAAAAGGCTTTTTCTAAATTCTTTTCTATTCCTTCTCCATTTTCATAACATATGGCTAAATTATTCATTGCATATTCATTACCATTCTCTGCTGCTTGTTGATACCAATAAAAGGCTTTTTCTAGATTCTTTTCTGTTCCTTCTCCATTTACATAACATATTGCTAAATTAAACATTGCAACTTTATCACCAATTTCTGCTGCTATTTGATACTGGTAAAATAATTTATTTTCATTGTTTTCAAAATCAGACATCTTTTAATAAAGTTGAAACTTAAAACAATTATTTTTAACTAAGATAGGTTAAAGTTGTAACGATCAACAGTTGGTGTAATAGAAGTGTTTTTCCGAAAAATTAATGTCACACAGGAAACACACATTCACTAATTTCATCACGGGTTACGCAAGCACGTAATGATTGACACTTATCATCCGCAGCAAACCACAAATCACGTGTATACTCCTAATGTGATTCTGGCTGACCAATCAGGAATGGACAAACCAGATTATGTATAGTTTTCGCCTAGGTTCCCATTGGATCCGATGTGAAATTGGCTCGGATTCCATGAATGACTACAGAAGATATGGGTCCGGATGATTACAAATGATCACAAATCAAAAATTGATCAATCGGACTCGGTTCACCAGCCAGAATCAATGTAACTAGGGGCTAGCCATTATGTATAAGATGAATAAATAAATTCATAGTACTTAATATGTTGTTTTAAATAATATTTGTTCGAGAATGTGTAAATTAATTGGATAAATCTCATTAAAACTACCATAACAAATAAAATTTATAGCAATCAATTAAAGCATTTTCCCTTTTTACTTATTTAATTTATTAGTAATTAGATTTTATACTGTATGTGTAACTGTAAAATAAAAAAAAATGAGTTTGATACTAGCGAAAATTCAATAAAATTAAATATTTCCGTTATATACGTAATAGAGTGACTTGAAATATCATTTTATTGCTTTAAAGAGGTCTGAGAACACTTTATTCAGTGTGGCTTTGATTCATGTGTGGTTTCAAGTGTTTAAATACCAGTTTATTTTTTAAGCTTTCAGTATCTTAGCACAAAGTGTATTATCGACTCAACCCGATAAATCATTTCTGACACTCATTACCCCGAGTCCCGACACTATTATCTTTTTTTTTTAATTTTTTTTTAGACGCAATAACCGAGACTATTTATCCAAAAAAAATATCCAAATAGCAAATTTCTTATATATATATATATATATATATATTGTATTTTCTGAGCCTATATTGCTACAACAAACAATTATTATTTTAAATTGATGAATGGCATAGTTATATAATCTTTATAGAAATTCTATCTATCACATGCGGATCAGCAATTTTTTACGTTACAATTGTTACTATTAATTGACATGAATTGTACGACTATTATCGGGAAAATATATAAATAGGTAACAAGAGATCAGCACATATTATCTCTTCAAAGCACAGAATTACGTAATGGTCGCCTGGAATTATCCAAAAAAAGAAGGATCTACACATTATTTTCATTCTATAGTACGATTGTTACCTTTTTATTCTGGGAAAACCCATTTTCAAATCCTACAAGAATTATGACTTTATTGAAATTTATTTACATAATTTAAATGGAGCTTTAAAAACAAAATTAAATGAATATGGAATTGAAGGATAATTTATTACCTTCAAATACACTTTTCAATTATCCTAGTTTTATAAAATATTTGAATACATTAAGATTAATAATTCTATTTTTGCGTGGTCTATAGATGCTTTTAAAACTTTGAAATTGAAACCTGAAACAAGATATTTAATTAAGTTTGATCATTTTGAAAGATTAATTCGAAGGTTATTATCTAGGCAAATTTACATACTTTTGATATTGAGCTCTATCATTGGGATTTTCATTTTGATAATATTTTAAAATTAATTATACGAAATCCAAATTTTATTCACAATATTAAAAATTTAAACCTTTATATTTGTAGTCATTATTATGGTTGTGATGAATATATTACAACTAAATATTATATATTAATAAAATTAATTAATTTACATCAAAATCTTAAAAAAAAAAATTTCTTTAAATGCTATTGACTTTCTTTTATATCAATCATTATTATTAATAAAAGATTATAATTGTTAAACACTTTAACTATTATCACATTAAGTTGCGTTGATTTTAAAGATATAATGAATTTAAATAAAATATTTGATCAATTTAAAGTTTTAGAATCTGTTCATCTCTTACATTGCCCTATAAAAAATATTGTCCAAACACTGTTCGGTTTTTTGTTCGGAAAACCGACCCCGTTCCGAACATTTACTTGACATTTATTGGACATTCATCATGATATTGTACGTTTTTTATGTGGTTAAAAATTCTCAATCTCCGCATCTTGTACTAAATTGTAACAAATATTTTGTATAATAGCGTGCGAGTGTACGGAAAATTGACCCCATTCCGAATATTTATTGGACAAACATTTTTTATAGGGTTGTTATTCCTTAAATACTAGTTTTATTCAACAAATTATTAATTTAAATAGACCATTTAAATTAAAAACTTTAATTATAAATGAGATCACAAATTGATGAATCATATCAATTATTATTACAAAAATGTGGTGGATATTTCGAGAATTTTTGGTGTTACTTTGGAGTTCAAAATGAACTATTATTTGAATCAGTTATAAAATATTGTAAAAATATTAAATCATTTTGATTAAAAATTTGAAAATCAGATTATTTATTTATCATTCGATCTGATTGAAAATTTGAAACAAAGTCTTAATTATCTTATAATCAAGATAACAAATAGGGAAAATAATATTGAATGTAGTTCAATTGTATTACAAAATTTAGGACAAATCCTTCCTTTTAGATTAGAATATTTAGATTTGTGCCTTCACATTAAAATGAGTGATTTGAAGTATTCTTGAAAAATTCTTAAGATACTTTTATTAAGAAATTGTTGATCAAAAATATAGAAGGACAAGGTATTTTATCTTGTATAAAAAAATAGATTATGAAAAAGAAAAGAGTGAAGTATTTGGCTACTAGAAATTCTGAAAACTATGTGGAATTAGTTTTATATAAAGATGAAGTGGAGGAATTTAAGTTGTATGATATTAAAGTGCAAAGTTATGAAAGCTCAACAGTAAGTTTCATAAATTTTCTCGGAATTAATTATAAAGTGGAGTGGTAATTTTAAAATATCAGATAGGAATGGTATATTAAATATAATTGCTTACACATTTATCATAGCGAAAGAAAATTTACTAATGAAACTTATCTATGAAAATTCTGAGGAGGTTGATATATAGTAAGTCAAAAAGGTAAAAATAGCCCTACAAAATGGGTCATTATTCAATAGTACTGATATTTGCTCTTTACAAATAAATGAAATATATGATGAAAATTTTCGCCTATAATAATTTTTAAGATCTTGTTACCTTCTGAAAACTGTATGTCTGTACGATTTTAATAATCGTCAATAATTTATGCTAATATTACAAATTACAATTTATCAAGTAAATAATTTAGCATTGGATGTTAAAAAAATTATTTTTCAGATTCTTTATAAAGCTTTGAAAAAACGGATAAAATAACTAACCTTTCCTAAAAAGAATGTAACTAGAAGTTATCAATAAAATTAATTTTTTAGAAGTATTTTCGAAAAAACTTTAGCATTATGAAAATACTACAGTACAAATATTTTTATAAATTTTATAATTATTTCTTATTATTTTATATTACGTCAATTTTAAAACTTATAACTTAGGAAAAAAAAATATTTGAACAATTAAATGTATTAGAATCTGTTCATTTCATTTATTATTATTCTTTTGATACTCATTTTACTTGATAAATTATTAATTTAACTAAACCATTCGAATTAATAAAAATCTGATGATTATTTAGAGAATTTTGGATATGGATTTGGTTATAATAATCTATTATTAAATCAACAATTTCTTCAATTAATTAATTATAAAATATTATAAAAATATGATTTTTATGAATTTGAAAATCAAACTATTTATCCAGCGTTCAATTTAATTGAAAAAATTTTGATCATCTTCTATCAACGTCGATTAATTTTCCTACATGTTATATTGATTTTTTTTTAAAAAAAAATAATACTTCTGTAAATATATTTGATATAATATTTTATTTCTTTATTTAAAAATAAAAAAAAATTTAAAAAAAATTTGGGGAAAGAAAAAGGATAAAGAAAGAAATCAGTTTAAAAAAGGGAAATTTCCGGAAAAAAAGAAATCCGAAAAAAAAAAAAAAATAAATAAATACCAAAAAAATTCTGAAAAAAAGACAATAATTTGGTCCAAAAAAGTGAAAAAAAAAAAAATTTTTTTTAAAAAAAAAAATCGAAAAAAATTATATAAAAAAAAATCGGTCTTAGAAGACCGAAACAATAGGATTATTTAAAAAAAAAAAAAAATTCAGTTTTGGAAAAAAAAATGAAAAATTTTTTAAAAAAAAGAACCAAAAAATAATGGCAAGTCAGAGCATCGCATGAAACAAGTGAATTTCCATCATTTTTTTGCATATTTTGCACTGTTCTATAAACACTACAATTATATCTATTTTGTTATTGTGAATTGTGACATTTTATTATATACCAAAAATAGAATTAGACCCATTCAAAATTTTCATAACCACTAACACCAAAACCTATGGAATATTTTTCAACTATTCCTCTCATTTTATATTCATTGATAAATTCATTCATTTGCTCGCTCTGAATATAATTATCAACACCTACTCTTATTAATATGGGATTCCTATCTTTCCAATTATCAAAAAATAATACCATGCCACCGAATAATTTAATTATCGTGCTAGAAAAAAATTTAAACTTAAACAAACTAATCGGTGATGATTTAGCTAATATTAATAATAAATTGTCCCAACTAAATTTATTATAATATTCATCATATACGTTAATAACTAATCCACTTAAAAATTGACAAGAAATTAATAAATTCTCAAATTCTGAGATAAGTGAATTACTATTATTAATAAGTGACAGATGAAAATATTTTAGATTTGGACAATTTTGATAAATTGCTTGAATAAACATTTCACTATTATCATAACGATCACTATAAAGTACACTAATTTCAGTAAGATTTCCTTTTGTATTTTCAATTAAATTTGCCAAAACTTTAGGTGTGACTCTTCGTGTTCTTAGAGTCTTTAAATTAGGCAATGATATATTTTCTAATTGATTAATATCAATAATGTTATAAGGTAAGTAAATTTCTAAATTTAATAGATTTACAAAATATGAAAGAAATCTCGTAATAGGTTTCCATTCAATTCTCAAATATTGGATAGTATTAGCATGTTTAATTAAAGATTCTTCAAGAGATTTATTAAATGATTCTTTTCTTTTCTTTAGTCTACCACGATGGATGAGATTAACGATGTTTAAGTTTTTTTGTACTTCAATTAATTTAAAAATTCCAAAATTATTAGAATTAATACCAACACTTAAACTTTTAATCGATTTGCATACTTTAGCCAATCCTTCTATAACATTTTGATCAATATTACCTCGACAATAAAAGGATTCTAGTTCTGAAAAGCAATGTTCAAAACCAGTAATATGATGTAATTGACAATCAAATTTATCTGGGATAGAAATATGTATATATTTCTTATCACCATTAATAAATAATTTCAATATCTCATTTCTTATAATGGACATTTTTGATTTTTCAAAATTTTTTGAAGAAATTTCGTTTTCCAAAAAAAATAAACTCAAATATTTACAGAAATAAATATAATTAAATAAAGGTCGCTGATATGTTTCTGTAATGAGATTATTAATTCCTTGATTTTTCAAAATATCTCTTGACTCCTTTGATAAATGTGAAATTATTACATTAAATAGTAAAATCTTTGACTTTATGGTAACGTACTTCCAAGGATTTTTCCATAAAAGTGGAGCTGCTGTTACACACCAGGTTCTGTTAACTAAAAGGCATGAATGAAGCGTTTTTTTGTCATTTTTTATTTCTTCAAATATTAGGTAAAGTATATCTTTGTCGAGATACCACATTTTTTAAAATTAAAAAAAAATTAAAAAAAATGACGTGAGAAATTTTCCTTTTTTATTTATACTTAATGAAGTTTGTGTACTTTGTGTAATAAATATTAACATAATGTGTCAATTGTGTCATGATGGTACGTGAAGATCCATGCGTCCATTCACATGATTGTTAACCAATAAATCACAAATTTATCATTTTTCAAAAATGATAATAAGAGCCAATTCGTGAGAAATTAGCATTATTCTAACAATAAATTTTGGGGAATATTTCTATAACCCTAACATCTAGTGATCACGGAAGTATCCAAATATAGCACATTATATTTATCTCATTGAGTTGAATTGAATAATGAGAAATTAATCTCTCTAAAACTGATGGATTGCAACATATCATATAATATTTTAAGAATTGATTTTTTTGAACTTATAAAAGGGTGTCTTTCATTTTTCATTTCCCCCAAAAAAATTCTTAAAATTTACCAAGAGATACCTAATTGGTATACTGCAAATTTCTAAACTCGACAAATTTACAAAGGTGTGACAGAAATCCAGTAATAGGAGTCCAGTCAATTTTCAAATATTGGATAGTACCTGCATATGATACATCATTTATTCTGTCACGTAAACTCTAATAAATACCGATTGAAACCAACGTCATTTAGGTTTTTTATACTTCAATTAACTTAATGATTCCAGAATTATCAGCACAGTAATATACATAAACTTTAAGTGTTTTGATTGATTTGCATATACTAGTTAAATCTTTTAAAACATTTTGAGGAATCATATCAGCATTACAATGAAGAAATTCAAGTTTTGAAAGCAACGTTCAGCTTCTGTAATGAGATGTAATTGATAATTAATATATCGTGGAATATAAAGATGAATGAACGTCGCATTACTATTACTAAATAATTTTAATATCTCATTTCTTATAATAAACTGTTGAAACTCTTCTATTTTAAACGAAGAAATTGTTTTGTTCAAGGAATATAAATCCAAATATTTTTAAGAAATCAATATAGCTTTGTGCCGGAATATAATCACGTGATAAGACTAGAGCATGTGACTGATATATCTATTATCTAATAGTTAATATATTTTACATAGTTAATATATTTTACCTCCCAATGCCGACTCCCCAATATTTCTTTTAAAGGATCAACTATTTTCTTCCCGTCATCAACCAAAAGTGAAGCGATGGGTTTCTTGATTGCGTTAATAGTCTCTCCTTTCAACCGCAAGATTACTATCTATACCGATTCGGCCAACTGTATAACAACTTATTACCATCGACTACACTCTCCCGTCGTTAGTCCACGACGCAAATTGAAACAAAATAATTTTTTGATATGGGATTTAATTTTTTACCTTATAGAGTCAAAGAACTTACATGTCTTCTTACAAAAGTCAAAGGACATAGTAATAATTTTTTTAACGATCAAGCTGATGAACTAGCTAATGCGGGGACGCACGCATATCAAAGATCCTATAATTATCAACCACAAATTTTTCCACAATACGAGCTTAGATCTCTTTAAATGGAACAACAATTACGTTATAGATCGAAACGTGAGAAAATGGAGTAACAACACGATTGACCCTTTAATTTTCTCTTTCGCCTGCTGTCAAAGAACAAATCACCAACGGCGACATTGATTGGACTTTCACTAAAGAATGGATCAATTATAACCCTTAGATTCTGTTACTGACTTTAAGTTATCAAAGATGCAAGGATCTAAACTTAAGAAATATAACTTTCTTTATCATACCGCAGGCATTCAGCAAAGAAACTACCCTAGATTGTACCCAACTAGTGCCATCCCCTGCGTGCAATGTAATAGTCACTTGGATAATAACAAACACGTCGGACTTTGTTCCGCACACAAAGACATTTGTATAGGTATACTAAAATGTCATTCGACGACTCTTTTTGATATCATTAAAGATTACGCCAAAAGTTTAACTTATGGATTATTGGAAACCATACAATCCTCCCCATTGATCAACACCTCCTTTGATTGAAGCAACACCCGCTTTACCTTTTGATACACCATTTGCTGATCTTACTATGATTTTTTACAATTATTTACCAAAGAAAACACGATTCCAGACATTCTTGACTTTTATGGATAATATAATGCCCGACATTAACTCGCTTATTTGAAACAAGCGAAGTACATTGTTTAAAGAATGGGTGCTTTTTTAAACATTACAAAGAAGAAAAAAAATTTTATTACAAAAAACATCGTACACAAATTAGGCGTGCAACTGAGGATGCACTTTCTGCTTCGACACACACACAATATCGAGAATGACAAAGATTTACTCATAATTTCAACCCCATTGATTCCATATGGCCATATTGGTGGTTTTTACGATGCTACGGCGCATATTCGATGGACTTCAAGTAACTTCTTACATTAGGGTTCTTGGGAATCCCATAGAGATAACATTTTGTTCAATAATATAGATTTATTCTCTTTTTATAATTATCACGTTTTATTCAAGTCATATAATTAATTTTTTATAATCACTCATTTCTTTTTCTTTCCTCGGCTTGCGAGTCCCGGTAGTGCTCTTGGAGCTCTCCCATTGCTCGTTTTTATTTCCAAGGCCAAGGTATCATCGTCTCCTTCGGGTTTCGATTTGGTTGTTAGTGTTAGAATTATTTTAAACTTTTTTTTAACTGTCTGTATAGTTCGTACTATGGCTTTGTGTACTTTGCGACATAAAAAAAAACCATAGCTGATAGTTAATATATTTTATATAGTTAATATACTTTACAATATTTATATAGTGCATATACTATGGCATATATTTAATATGTTGTAATTAGTATAGAATTTATTATAAAAAGAGTCAATGTTAAGATCATCGACGGTTAAGATATTCAATAAAGTTTGATTTTTATCCTTTTACACTCTAGTCACTCTATCCTTATTTATTAGTATAAATCCTTTATTTACGTCTGATCGTATAGGCTTATTGGGAAGCTATACTATTGTAATGGCGTAGTATACCTAGTAAATTTATTAATTGTGGGGCGCAGTATTATATTTAATCTTAGTGTATAAATTTTTTATTTAAAATTGTATTTTTAATTGGTCCGAAAAGACGTTAAACTATTAGTCATGTGAATTAAGGATAATTGGTCCGCAATGACGTTAAACTATTGGTTACGAGATTCGGGAATAATTAGCGTCCGAAATTGACGTTAAACTAGTATCAAGTGATTTGGAATATCAAGTGATTAATTCGTAGATCATGACGTCAATATTAAAATTATTATAAATCATAATTAAGGAGGTAATGACGATCATTATGGATAGAATTATAAAGATAATCTTATGGATAGGTTGGATTTAATCTTATGGAAATTTTGAAGTTAAAATCTATGAAATCAAATTATGAATTTGGTGAAACATAAACAAATATAAAAGGGAGAATAATGTGACTTCCCCAAAAACAAGTTACGATTCTAGAGTTATAATTTTGGAAAATGAAGTTTTAATAGAATCTATTTATTTATTATTTAACATTATTAAACCAAGCATATTATTGTATTTATTTATATTATTAATAAAGAGTTATTTTGTTAATATCTAAGGTGGCAACGTGATTTATCACGGGCTTAGATGTTACACTATCTGTGGTTTTTAGATAAGATCTACGTCGATCAAATCCGATTTCCAACCTTCTGATAAATATAATTTTAAGTTATACATCGCTTAATATCAAAGCAATTAAAGAACTGACGATAACAATAGTTAAATAAAGGTCGCTGATGAGTTTCTGTTATAAGATTTTTAAGATTAATTCTTCGATTACTCTTCATAGTATAATGCTTGACTTGAAGTTATAACTATCCCAAGGATTTCTCCACCGCTACTACAAACCAAGTTCTATTAATTAAAAGGCATAAATAAAGCGTCTTTTTATCATTTTTTATTCCTTCAAATATTAGGGAAAGTATATCTTTGTCTGTTTGTCAAGGTAACCACATTTGTTTTTAAAAAAAATGAGTTTTCAATGTGTTTTGTGTAACGAATATAATAAAAAGTGATATCATAATGATATGCATCATTGCATCATTCTGTTTGTTCATGTGATCGTCAACTCATGAAATAGAAAACTATAGTTTATATTTTTTGCTCCGGACTCGCAATTCCTAACATTAAATTGTTTATGAATATTACCTCTTTCCGAAATGATAATTTAATTTACTTAATTTATATATTTAAGATACTTAATTTTTACTTTTGTTTTTCTTGATAAATGTGAAATGAATTATAAATAAAACAATAATTTTTCGTAAAAATAAGAATTTTATTGACAAGAATCAATATATTGATGAAATTATTGAACTGAACCTACATATTTGGAATAAATATATATAAATCATAACTATTAATGAAAAAAAATAAAATAAAATGCGTTTAATTAGACAGTAACGAAAAAAAAAATGATTTCTTTCTTTAACTTCAATATTAACTATCTGTGATAATAAATAAAAATTAATTTTTGTAATTCCTATAATAAATACAATCATTTTATACGTAAAAAATCTTTTAAGCCCAATCAAAATTTTGATAACCAATAAAATTACGATCAATGGAACATTTTTTAATTGTTCCTCTTACTTTATATTGTTTGATTAAATCTTCCATTTGCATTTTACTACATTGAAGGTTATTTATTGTTAATAGCATAGGATTTCTGTCTTCCCATTTATCAAAAAATAATTTTAAGTCTTCTAGTTTAACTGTACCACTAAAAATAAATTTAAACCTAAACAGGCTTACTGGTGATGATCTAGCCAAAATCATAAAGAATTGATCCCATCTAAATACTGCAAAGCATGTGTTAATAATTAATCCTTTCAAACATTGACAATTAACTAATAAATTTTCAATTTCTAAGATAAATAAATTACTATCAGCCAATGAATTATTATTAGCCAATGATAGATGAAGATATTTTAGTTTTGAACAATTTTGATAAATTACTTGAATAACCATTTTATTATCAACACTGGATATACTGATTTCAGTAAGTTGTCCTATTGTATTTTTAACTAGATTTGCCAAAATTTTAGGTGGAACTTGATTTACATTTAGGATTTTTAAATTAGGTGATGATAAATTCTCAAAATAATTGATATCATTCCACCCATTGCAAATTTCTAAACTTGATAAATTTACAAGATATGAAAGAAATCCTGTAATAGGAATCCAGTCAATTTTCAAATACTGGATAGTACCTGCATGTTTGATTAAAGATTCTTCAAGAGATTTATAAAATGATTCATCATTTATCTTCTTTTGTGAACTGTCATAATGAATACCAATGAAACCAACGTCATGTAGGTTTTTTTGTACTTCAATTAATTTAATGATTCCAGAATTATCAGCACAGTAATATATATCAACTTTAAGTGTTTTGATTGATTTGCATATGCTAGCTAAATCTTTTAAAACATTTTGATCAACATTACAATGAAGAAATTCAAGTTCTGAAAGGCAACGTTCAGCTCCTGTAATGAGATGTAATTGATAATTACTGATATTTCGTGGGATTGAAAGATGAATAAACGTCGCATTACTATTACAAAATAATTTTAATATCTCATTTTTTATAATAACCTGTTTGGACTCTTCTATCTTAAACGAAGAAATAATCTTTTCCAAGAAATTTAAATCCAAATATTTTAAGAAATCAATATAGTTAAATAAAGGTTGCTGATAAGTTTCTGCAATAAGATTATTGATTCCTTGATTCTTCAAAATATTTCTCGATTCTTCTGATAAATATGAAAGTATTACATCGAGTAGTGACTTGAAGTTATAACTATCCCAAGGATTCCTCCATAAAAGAGGAACCGCTGCTACACACCAGGTTCTGTTAACTAAAAGACATGAATAAAGCGTTTTTTTATCATTGTTTATTTCTTCAAGTATTAGGAAAAGTATATCTTTGTCAAGGTACCACATTTTAATTTTTTAAAAAAAAGAAAAAAAAAAAGAGAAATTTAAAAATTTTGCCTTTTTATTTTATATTTGGTTTGTTTTGTGCAACGAATATAAAAAGTGATATCATAATTATCATCATAGTGTGTATGACGATGCATGAAGATCTATGCATCATGATTTGTTGCGAGCGCACATCTGAAATGTGTGTCAGGTTGACGGCGCAGTGTGGCGTAGCGATTTTTCCAAAAAAAATTAAATTGCAATTTTTTTTATTTAAAATAAAACCTTTAAATTACTGCACTAGATGTATTTTCGTCCGCTCTACAAATTTACTTAGAGTATATACGGGCGGTCTTCCGTTTATAAGTGAATTTTGTAAAACAGATGAAAATACATCTAATATGTAAATTTGAAAGCATTGCATTAAAAAGAAAATCTTCAACTTAGATTTTTTTGAATTACTGCGCCACACTGCGCCGTCAACCTGACACACATTTCAGACGTGCGTTGCGAGCGAATTTCTAACAGGTGATTTCCATCAATTCACGTGATCAAATTTTAGTTTTTGCTCCGGATAGGGATTGGAATCGATCATCAAATGTAGATTCAATTGTTTGTTCCTTAAAAAATAATCCATTTTAAGCTTTAATAATTAATTCCATGATCAGTAAATATATAGATTCTGAATTAAAATTGTAAAATCTACTATATCGTCAGCTATAACATCGTTGCCGATCATTTGCCGATCATTTCCTCATCGATCAATTTTTCTTTTTTGAAAATATTTAAATCATGCATTTAATTTTTGGATGTAATGTTGAATTAATTTTTTTGTTTAATTTCAATTTTCTCTTCAAAATTCGATTTTATTTCGATTATCGATTCCAACCCCTAGCTCCGGACGCAATTCCCTAGTGTTAATTTGTTACTTTTTTTTTGAAATGATAATAATTATAACTTAATTTACTTAATTTATGTATTTAAGCTACTTAATTTTTTACTTTTGTTTTCTAAATAAAACAATAATTTTTCGTAAAAATAAGCAATTTATTGACAAGAGTCTAAGATTTTAGGGATCGAATCTAATTTTTTTTAAATGTTTCATCGAAATATTGATGAAGCTATTGAACTTAACATAATAAATTATTGGTTTTTATCTTTTTTGATATTTGGATCAAAGATAAATAAAGTAGAGAGCTGCGAAATTTAACTCATCATCTAAAATCAATTCTGCGTCACAAAATTTTTAGTTTGGCTGTTATATTATCGTCACAAATTTTGTTTAATTTTTAACACTTATTTTAAAAAAAAATTTAAATAATAAATATTAAATACTTAAGTTTTAAAATACCTGAGTTTCGAATAATAGCGATAGAACTGTAAAAACATCCAACCTAGGACTGGGCAAGTGTATAGTAATATCTCATTTCTTAAGATAAATTTTTTAGTCTTTTTAAAGCATATTGAAAGAAATTATCTTTTCCCAGGAATATAAATTTAAATATTTAAGAAATCAATATAGTTTAACTGAAAAAAAAAAAGATACTACCTTTTTGTCCGAAGCGTAAGCGTAGGACACTTCCATTCTACTCCATACCATGCATGTTGGTGTCTGTCCGCACGCGTGTATGGCCAATAAAATCTAAGGATCAGGTGTAACCTTAAATTTGTTTACGTGCATCTTTATGCCCCTGATTCTAAAAATATCTTTATAAAGTCACATGACTACTGTTTATACGTTAAATTTAAAAATTTTTTTATCCCTGATTTAAATTTTCTTATTTCTTAAAAGTTTTTTATGGCATTCAAATAATAAATTAATTTTTTTTTTACTCATAATTTTTACATTTTGTATTTTTTTTAATTAAATGTTAACTTTTATTTTTTTTTTTGACAATCATGAGAATAAATTAAAAATTTGCAGTACAGTACAAAGTATGAAAGTATGATAATAAAATGACATTTTTTAGTGATACTATTACTTTTTTTAGCATTTTTAGTGTTATATTTTTAGTGTTCAGTTTAAATTTATGAACATGTAATTTATGATGCTTCGGACGCACCAACGGTTACCGTTTCCTAGTTATATTTAATTGTTATTGCGTATTCTGTGTAACAATTATTGCAATAGTAGTCAATGTTTTATTGGTTGGTTAATCTTGACTGTAGATCCATTCATTGGATCTAACTTTCTAGCCTAATGACGCAATGCAGTTAAATGAAGATCTATGAAACCTAGAATGTATCTTGTGAAAATAACTAATGAGATATCGTAAGTTCAAATATTTAACGAGCTGTCTAAAAATTTATTGTTTGGTAAAGGTTAGTTTAGTACTTACATAAGGTTACAACGTACATTTTTCTTTCAGAAGCAAGGTTACGAAAACGATTATGTTTAATGATCTTTTAACAACCTTACCATAATTATATTTATAAAATGGTTGCAGTAATTCAAGTTTACGATGCAAAAGATTATTCAGCAATTCTACACGTTCGTTCTACATGCATTAAAGTACATTTATAATAAGCTAAATGGATTACAAAAAGAATAAAATAGAATGAAATGACCATGTTTGAAAAAATTATTCTCTTCTAAATACATTTTACACGAATAAACTTGAAAAAATATATCCAGATGAAAATATTCTATCTTGGACTTTTAGCCAAATACTTTGGACTGCTACTTGAAGAATCATCTAGTCCAATATTATTCTTGAACTTTATTCTCACCATTCTTCACCATTCATACGAGTTGCAAAAAAAACCTACTTGTATAGATTCGTAACGATTTATCATTTCAATTATTTCAAAAATAATTCTTTTTAAATAAGATATTCTCTTGCACATTTAAGATTATTTGGAATTGTAATTTTTTAAAATAACAATAGTGAGTATTATAAATTTAACGTAGATTGCAACAATAGTACTTATACAGTTGAGAAGATTGAAATATTTAAACTATTTTTTATTTTTATTAAAAATATATATATATATATTGGCTTGTTTTAAATGAATTAATTTATTCATAATTTAAATTTTAAAAGCAGTTATTAAGGTTTAATTTTAATAAATGTTATTTATAGAAAATGTCTAACGTTAAAATATATTTTACGAAAGGTAAAATAAATAGCATCATTATATTTTGCACATATCATAAATTTGATCGGAGTAAAAAATTACAAGCGACTTACGATTTGATAGCGATAGCAAGGGCTAAAAGTTATGACTTGAGCTATCCATAAGAGTACTACTGATAGTTTATGTTATTTATATTACAAAATATTTAAACTTAACAACGTCGATCCCTCAACAAAAATTTTTGGGGAAGAAAAATATAATTTTTCATATATAAAAGATGGAGACGGACTTGCCTAAATAAAAACGTTAAATTTTTAGAAAACACAAAGCCTTATTTGTTGTGTGAGTTTAAAGATATGGGGAAACTATCAAAAAAAACTTTCTTTTAATAATAATACTATCTCGATTCATTGTTTCGGTAAGATGTCGGTAGATATGTATTCACATTTCAAATGTGTAACAGTGTAAGTAAGGCAAAAAAGTGTTTACGAAACATAGCGCCTTCGTTAAAGTTAAACTATGAAATGGTGAAGCTTCTGCAAAACTAGCATTCAAAATATACAAAAAGGATATAGAGCTTATTGTTATAGGTCGTCAAACCCTATAAAAAAATTTTATCCGAATATTTCCATTATTTCTCCGTGTCTTCCGTAAAAATTCCGTGAAAATAATAAATTCACGGATATCCGTGTTAGCGAGATGAAAATTTCCATGATTTAAGGTTATTAATTCCATGAAAATGATACATTCACGGAAAAAACATGGAAAGATAAAACACGGATCAGATTTTTTACAGGGAAAGCGAACGTCTAAAAGGTTGTTAAAAGAAAAGGAAATTGTAATACGCGAACAAGAAAAATATGAAAGCGGGGAGGTGAGGAGTTAAGGAGAAGATCAAACCAGAAAGTTTGTCAGAAGAATTCCAACATAAAAGGCAATAAAAGACGTCAAGAAAAGAATGTTCTCGACGGAAAAGCTTACGATATATATTTTTATTACAACATACAAACGTTGAAATAATGAAACCTTGATAAATAATTTTTAAAAGTACAATAGGCTTAGTTAAGAAGATCAAAGTCAAGAAATTATTTAAACATCAGAAGGTAAGGACTGACATCGTACTTAAAAAAGAATATGCAGAATCTTTTAGAAGTGGAGATTTTGCTACAAAAGTAGAAGATCTATATGTCGGATGGTATAAAGGAGATACATCCACCATTCAATGTGCTGAAAGAGACTAATAATGACAGTTAATATTATGGTTAGACGAATGTTTAAATAAAGAAAATCAAGAAGAAGCTGAAAGAGAAATTATCAAGAAATATACGGGATTTATATAATGCGAAATACGTTAATATTTGTATTATACACGGAATTCGCAAGTTAATTTTATTTATTGATAATGAAGGATCGGTAAACACGGCCATCGTACAAGGTCACAAGGAAGATCAAGAAACGATGAACGACTGTCACATAAGTTCAAATAATTATCCGAGACAATTTGAGATAAACTAAAAACATAAAAAGTCAGTCAATTATGAATCTCGTGAAAATATCCAAAAGAACATCTACTATGACAATCATAGTAATCTATATCGTGTTTTTAATATTCCTTTAGCTTTATACCTTTTGATTAAATCACGAAATTCTGCTTCCACGTATGGAGATTTAATAATATAGGGTGTTTATCGCAGGATTTTTCCGTAAATTGGTACGTTATTTCACACCAAGTTCTGTTAATTAAAAGGCATGAATAAAGGGAATTTCTATCATGTTGTAATTCTTCAAACATTAGGGAAGTACGTTTTTGTTGAGTTTCACCATTTATTTTTTTAAAGCAAGATATTAAAGAGTAATAGCCCTATTAATATTTACTAATGAAACATATTTGTTATAGCAGAATGAGCAGCTGTTGTGTAAATTATTAAAATTGGCGTTCCGTAGGAAATGTTACTAATGTCATTCATTCTACACAAACTATTTACCTTTACATACGTACGGTGAAACCCAATGGAATTACTTGTTTAAGAATAATTATTCGTAACCATATTTTTATAAGAAAATTTTATCGTTAATATGCTATTTCATCTCTATCCCAGAATTTGAGAATTTGTTAACTAGTTGTCAACTATTAATTGGATTAATTATTATTGAGACAGATTAAAATATTAATAATGAATGAATTTAGTTGGGATAAATCTTTTATTAAATTGCTCTAAATCATCAGATGTCATCAGTTATATTATTTATCGCCGTTTTCAAAATGGTGTACAAAGTTTATTTTGTGATTGTATATTTGAATACCAATATTCGTCCGGTTTTCATCCGTTTTCTGTCCATATTTCGTCCGGTTTTCGTCCGGTTTTCGGTTTTCTTTTTTTATTCAAATTTAACTGCGTATATCATTTTTAAAACGGCGATAAGTTTAATCCTTTAAAATAAGAAAATATAAAATTATTTTTTGATAATTAGAAAAATATGAATTCTATATTTGAAATAAGTAGCAGTAGTTATTATGACATGAATTGAAGTAGTAATTAGAAGGTTTAATCAAAAAATATACTTTTTATTGAATTTAATACTCACATATTGTTATAAATAATTAGATAATAGTATTCTTTATTCGAAATTTTATTTAGTAAATTATTGTATATATTTTACGGAAATATTTATACAACCCGGTCCGGGAAACCAAAAAAAATCGGCCAACTTAATTTTGGTCAGTTTAATTCCGGCCGGAATTAAGGCGATTTTGGCCAGAATTACGAAAATCAGGAAAATCATGTGCGGATCCGGTCCGGGTTTCCGGGTTCGTCCCGTTTGCAGGCCTCTAGTCAGATAATTGAAGCACATCACGTTTATTATTTTTACTAAAGTTGGTTCAATATTTAAAGTAATTGGCCATCCCAATAGTAAATTTATACTAAATACGTATTAAATCTTTTCACATGCGAAACAACAAATAATTATTAGTACTATTAAACTAGAATGGGATCGTCATGCATTCATATGTCAATTGCATTATCCCAGTTTAATTGTACAAAAGCGGTCGCACAAAACATGATGTAATATTTATCATAAATAAATAAAGAAAATAAGGTGAGGTTTCCGATTTTTTTCTTGAAAAAAAAAAAAAAAAACAATGTCGAGTTTTAACAGAGATGTACTTGTGCTTATACTTGAAGAATTAAAAAGTGATAAAAATTCACTTTTTTCATGCCTTTTAGTTAACAGAACTTGGTGTTTAATAGCAGTGAGAATATTATGGAGAAATCCTTGGCAATATTTTACAACCATTAATTCTAAGATTATCATGTTATTTAATGTATTATTTTTACATTTATCAAAAGAATCAAGAGATATTTTGAAGGGTCAGGGAATTGATAATCATATTACAGAATCACATGAATGCCCCTTATTTGATTATATTAATTTTATAAAATATTTAGACTTCTTTTTTATAAGATGTATGATACCACGAAAGACTAAAAAAACAAAAATATCTATTGTAAAATCTGAGATATTTAAATTATTTATTAATAATAATACAAAATTTATTCATCTTTCTATTCCACAAAATTTTTATAATCAAATACATCTTATTCCAGGAGCTGAACATTGCTTTTCAGAACTTGAATCCTTTCATTGTAATATGGATATATCTCAAAATATTTTAGAGTGGTTGGTTAGATGCAAATCAATTAAAAAAGTAATAATTGAGAATATGTTCTTCAATTATAGTGTTAAATGTTTAGAAATCATTAAATTAATTGAAGCACAAGAAAGCCTAAATGACGTTAAATTCATCAATTTATCAGAAAGTTATGAATCATTTGATAAGTCTCTTGAAAAATCTTTAATTAAGCATGCAACTACTATCCAATATTTGAGGTTTGACTGGACACCTATTACAAAATTTCTTTTACATTTTGTAAATTTGTCATGTTTAGAAATTTTTCTACCTGGGTATAGCGTATGGAAGGATTTAAATTATTTTGAAAATATCTCATTGCCTAATTTAAAGATTTTAAGAACAAGCAGAGTTCGACCTATAATTTTGACAAATTTAATTGAAAATATAAAAGGAAATCTTACTGAAATTAGTGTACTTTATGATTATCATGGTGATGATAGTAAAATGTTTATTCAAGCAATTTATCGAAAGTGTCCAAATCTAAGATATCTTAGACTATCATTGCTATTGTTTCGTAATATTGAGTTATTAATCTCAGAATATGAAAGTTTATTAAGTAATAGTCGATATTTAAATGGATTAATTATTGACATATATACTGGATATAATACTGAATTTAAATGGAATGAATTTTTTATGATATTAGCTAAATCATCACCAATTAGTTTGTTTAAATTTAAATTTTCTTCTAATAAATTAATTCAATTAAAGGATATAAAATTATTTTTTGATAATTGGGAAAATAGGAATTCTATAATTCTAGAAATAAGTAACAAAGATTATAATGTTAATATTAAAGCGAAGCAACAATTAGAAGATCTAATCAAAAAATATAAAGTAAAAGGAATAGTTGATAGATATTCCATTGGTTTTAACACAGTATATCATGAAAATGAGTTTGAATGGAATTAAAAAAAAATCCTTATATATACAATTATGCATAAATTAGTACAAAAAAAAAAACGATTTTATATTATTGTTTTATATACGCATATAAATATCTTCATACTATCTTTATTTTAAAATTTTTATCGAAATTATTATATTTTCCATGAAAAAAACATTAAAGTGTATCACAATTATTAATATCGTTAAATATGATCCTGTAAAAATGTTAATCTGTGTTTTATATTTTAATTGATGAATATAAAAAATTTTAAAAATAATGCCCGCAAAACTTGTAACCTTTTACTATGTTCACGACTCTACCGGGCGTCTACAAGAACCGATGATGTTGATGTCATCAAATAAATCAAGAATTTAGTATCAGACACGTATTAAACTATTCGTAAAACTATCGATAACATGTCGTAACATAAAAAATAGGTGGTAAACAAGTGTTATATATATATGTCATTAAAAAAAAAAATAAATACTATTTGACGATAAATCTATCAATTGTTATTTATTAATACTGTAAATGTAGTAAAATCTATTATGAAATTCATACAAGAATCTAGAGGCAATCTATATAAGTGCAGTGCGGTACGTTGCTGATTTTCTTTTAAATCCATTTAAAATTTTCATAATCATCACCACAATCGATAATACTAAAAATATAATTTTCAATTATTCCTTTTGCTTTATATTGTTCAATTAAACTTACTAACTGCTGATCTACTTTAAAACTAGGATAAATTATTTTTAGTAACATAGCCCTCCTATTTTTCCAATTATCAAAAAATAATTTTAAATCTTTCAGTTTAAATTCCTTAGAATAAAATTTAAATTTAAATAAACTAATTGGTGATGATTTAGCTAATATTTGGAATAACTTATTCCACCTAAAGTTATAATCATTTCTCACGTGAATAATTAATCCAATTAAAAATTGACAATTAATCAATAAATTTTTAAATTCTGGAATCAATAACTTTATATCAAATGATAATTTAAGATACCTAATATTTGGACAATTTTGATAAATTGCCTGAATAAGCATTTTACAACCAACATCACGTAAGGCCTTATCACAATGTATACTAATTTCAGAAAGATTTCCTGTTGTGCTTTCAATTAAATTTACTGTAGCAATCAATGGAACACGATTAATCTTTAAAATTTTTAAAATAGGTAATAAGATATTCTTTAAATTATTTGGATTATACTTCTTTATGAAAAATGATTTCTCGATTTCTAAATATACTAAGTTCACAAAGTACGAAAGAAATCTTGTATTAGGACTCCAATCAATTTTCAAATATTGGATAGTATCTGCATGTTTAATTAATGATTCTTCAAGATATTTGTAAAATGGTTCAAGTCTGTTAAAAGCATCGGTTAAATAGAATTCATTTAAATTTTTTTGTACTTCAATTAATTTAAAGATCCCATGACTATCAGTATTTTCATAGCTATCAAAATTTATTTCAATTTTTTTAATTGATTTGCATATTTTAGCTAATCCTACTAGAACGTTTGGATCAATTTTACTATTATAATAAAAGATTTCAAGTCCTGATAAGCAACATTCAGCCCCTGGAATAAGATGTACTTGATAATCAAAATATTCTGTAATTGTAAGTTGAATAAACTTTGTATTTTTATTAATAAACAATTTGAATAACTCGTTTCTTAAAATAGGTGCATTTGATTCTCCAACTATATTCGAAAAAATTTCATGTCTTAGGATAGGCAATTTTAAATGTAATTAAATAAAGGACGCCGATGTGTTGTCTCTGTTATAAAATTATTCATTCCTTGATTCTTCAAAATTTCTTTTGATTCTTCCGATAAAAGTAAAAGTATTACGTTGAATAGTTTCTTTTGAATACCAAAATAAGAAAATAGACTAGGATTTCTCCATAAAATTGATACACCAAGTTCTATTAACCAAAAGACATGAATAAAGAGATTTTTTATCATTTCCTAATTCTTCAAATATTAGAAAAAGCAAATCTTCATTGGATCGCCAAATTCTTTTTTTTTTTAAAAAAATAAAAAGGAGAAATTTTTTATCGGGTTGATTTGTCCCATTATTTTAATAGATTTTTAGTCTTATTGTGTAACAAATATTACGTTTATATTTCTGATGCATGAAGATCTGTCACTGCATGATTTTTGTCCTAATTACATTTGATTCTGAAAAATAAAATTATTTTCGATAATATATAGGAAATGGCATTTTCAATAGGAGAAGAGCTCCGTATACGCCATTGTGTTAATTAGCAATCCATGAACTTATGGAACATAACAATAATAAATCCTATGAAATACAATAGTCATTTTTTTTTTAATAGTAAAATTGACAATTTATGATTAATTTCATTGTTGATTTATTATTAACGCCGTACAGTTCCAAAATTAAGAAACCTAGTCCGGGTAACCATAGTAAAGACACAAGGCCACATGAACTGGAAGGGTATTAAACAAAAAGGAAACTGATGCAACCACTAAAGGACAAATAATATTAGAGCAAAATGAGAAAATAGAAAGATACGAACGGAAGATAACAGATTTGGAAAATCGAATAAGAGAATTAGAAACTGATGTAACGGTGAAAAAGCGAATAAAATTAGAGAAAGAGGAAAAAGCGAAAATACTTACCGGAAAAGTTAAAGAGCTAGAGCAGAAGAAGAATCAAGACATGAGTTCACTGACCACAAACAAGTAAGGTAAATTCGGGTCAAACAAAGAAAAAATCTGGAGTCGTAAAAATCGGAAAAATTCGGATACACAAAACTATCCAAATGGAAAGATCACTGAATTTCCGGTTAAAACAATTACCGACGACGATAATAATTTTGCAGATGAGTCACGTGATATTACGTTCTACGATTTTCCGTGGATGAAGTAATATATGCAATAAATGTAGGATACGTCGAACGCCTAAGAAGCTATAAATACAAGATGATTAAGGCCAGACTTTGTTTCACCAAAGCTTATGAAGATATAAATATAAACGAGGTGGCATTAATATATCTATTACAAAAAATGGCCGTAATTATTTCTTCAGAATTTTTGACTCAAGACTAATGCCGCGCCAAATTAAAGAAAAATACAGCTGGCAAGCATGTAAATAACTTGAAACTGTTAATGACGAACAAGATGGTACAATCATCCATGACCATATCGACAAATATGGCGGGTGGATCAACAAATTAAATAAAAAATTTGTCTGACGTTTGGATTAGTCTCCGTATAAATAATTTGAATTGTGTAACTTGAAATCCCATGCCATATAATTAAAACCCGCCTGGTCAAAAACTAAATGATTTTTTATCAAACCAAAAAAAATTGTTTTTTCTCATTCTTTTCCCATTTAGGTTTGATTTTTTTTCCCAAACTGAAACCTTTTTTTTTTTTATTAAATAATCCTATTGTTTCGGTCTTTTAAAACGGATCAAAATTTTTTTTGGTATGATACTTAATTTTTTTTTCGGATTCCT